ACCCACCCTCACCTCCAGGGAGCACATGGGAGCCCAGGTCCTGGCAGCACCCAAACCTCACTCCCAGGGGGCACGTGGGAACCAGGTCCTGGCAGCACCTATCCATCCCAGACGGTGTGGGCCATAGACGACAGGAGGGCAGCTTCACGTGCAACATCTTTCTGTTTTATTATTATAATATATATAAAAAAAACACTATTGGAACTGGCCGGATGCGGCCCCCTCCCCCTGCCAGTGCTCAGATGCAGCATCAGTGCCTCCTGCACAAAGCAGGATGGGAGTTAAATGGGGGGGGGCTGATGCCTCATTTAGCCCCACTCCCCTGTGACCACACATCTGCCCCTGCTCCCTGGGTGGGGGGAGGAGCCTGCCACACTTGTTCATTCGCTCGCACCCTCGTTCCCGGGCGAGGATGCAGCTGCTCCCCCCAGTGCAAAGAAAATGAATTAATAATAACAAGAACGAACTAAACTCACAGAGGAGGGGCTCATTCATCCATCCATCCCCCCCACACTCATCCCATTCCTCATTCCCTCCATCCTCATTCTTGTCCCCACACATCCAATTCCACTTTCCCTCCATTCTCACTCCTGCCCATCAGAGGCTCTGAATGACACGACCTCCCTCCCACCCATGAAAGGTGGTGAAATTGCTCCATCTACACAGGAAGTGGGATGGCTAAAACAGGAAGTCACAACGTTGGCCCACCCTCCGCTTCAGTCACCTCCTCCCCTCCACCTCCAGTCACAGCTGGTCCCTCCCCAATTCCTGGTTGGCTCCACCTCCCACCCCCAAACCACATACTGCCCCACTCCTCCCCAAACACAACTAGTCCTGCCTGAAGTACATAAACACGGCCCCATCTGTAACTAGCTCCAGAACACTTGCAAATGGCCCACCCACCCCTGCAAAGTAGCAATTTGCCCCACTCTCCAAATACTGACTGGCTCCGCCTGAATCTCAACTGGCTCCACCCCAGTCACAGATTGCCCCGCCCTCCGATAGTGATCCAGTCCTCTGCAATTATGACTGGACCCTATCAAGTAACAAAGTGACCCCTCCCCTCCCCAATAAACCCCACCCCCACCCCCTCCTAAACTACAATCCCCTTAACTCTGACCACCCCGGCAGCATTATTAGGAAGTAAAAATTGGGAAACAAAAGTTCTCCCTTCTGGATGATGTCCCCTAGAAAAAGGATTCAAGAGTTACAAAAAATGCATGTGTGTATGGTGGGGGGTTGGTTTTCTTTGCCACCCCCCACCCATACCCATCTTCAGGAGGGGATGTGATCTTTAACCTTTGGCTGAAGGTAGGCCAGGTGACCTCTCAGTGGCAATAAAGTCCATGGGGTTTAGAGCGCCCCTCGCTGGCTGCAGTGAGAATGGGCTTTCCCAGCACAGTCCACATGGTTCAGAGAGCCGCCCCGCCCCCCGCTGGCTGCAGTGAGAATGGGCTCTCCCAGCACAGTCCACGTGATGCAGAGCGCCCCCAGTGGAAATGGGCTCTCCCAGCACAGTCCGGGTGGTGCAGAGTGCCCCCTGCTGGCTGCAGTGGGTTTGTTCCTGAAGGCTCTCTCAATGCTGTTTTTCTGTTGGTCTCATCCCCCCTGCTGGACCTTAGGGGAGCAGTCAAACGGGAGGGTGGCTGCTCTGGCCTAGCCACAGCCAGGGGGACTGGAGCCAACCTCCCTCCAGTCCTTTGTTCTTGCTGGGATTTTACTGGAAGACGAAAGAGAAGGGGCCGGTCGGGACCCAGTCGTGGCAGGGCACCTTCTGTACCCGCCCCGTCCCCCCACCATGAGGGGGGGGGTTCTGCGGGGTTACCGCCTGCAGGATTCATCTGCCAGAAGAGAGAGAGGGGGAAATGAGTAGGAAACGGGAGAGGGGGAAACCTAGCAGGGACAGACAGGGGAACAGAACCCAGCAGTCCCTGCTCTAACCCACTAGACCCCTCCCTCCCAGAGCTGGGAGTTGTAAGCATAGCAGCCGTGCCTGATGGATGTTGGAGGAGAGGGAGGGGCATGTGCCTGGCCTTCTGAATTGGAAAGGGCAGGATACATCTGTGCCAAGGCTTGCTGGAGGCCAGTGGGCCGACACCCTTGAGCTTCCCCCATCTGGCCACTAGATGGAGCCCCAATGCCCATGGCTAGCAAAGCAAGAGGTTTTCCCAGGGGTGGGGAACCGGCAGCAGCTGTTTCATAAGCATTTTCCCAGCATGTTTCATCACCCAAGCCGCTCCCTGCCGCACAGCGCCCCCTAGTGCCGTGCTGGGGCATTGGGGCCAGCACTGACTGCCAGGGGAGAGCGCCCCCAACTAAGCCTCTAACCCCGCTCCCCGCCACACAGCGCCCCCTAGTGCTCGCTGAGACTCACCCACGATGAGGGATTTGGTCCTGAGCACACCCGGCAGGCCGCGATGGAGTAGCAGCAGCTCCTCCTCTTCCTCGTCGTCCTCCCCGTGGGGGTTGGCACAGGCCGGCGCGTCCAACTCCTCGGGGGGCCCAAACTCCTCCAGCAGGGACCCCTCGGACGGGTACTGGAAGGTGCGCTCCAGCTGGCTCTCACTGAACGAGATCTTCAACTGCAGGGGAAGGGGGAGAAGGATCAGACTAACAGGCCCATCTAGCCCGGTATCCCGCCACTGCCCCCTACCTGGATTAGCTTTATGTCCCCACCCCCTGTTTAAGTGTGACTCTACAGTAACTTATCAGTGCCCACGGTCTTAGACCCTGCACCAGTGGGTGAGTCCATAGCACAAAGAGACCCTACAATAACAAACCAGTGGATGGCTCCCCAGTGCACCTGAGAGACCCTAAAATAATGACGAGTGTGCTGGATCCCAGCGCCCACTCAAAGACTCTTCAGTAACCCCTGTGCCTATCCCCAGGGCTGAAAGACCCTACAATAACAAACCGTGGCACACAGCCCTACAGCTGGGACTCTACAATGTCAAACCACTGTCTGCACCCCCAGTGCTGACCTGAGACCTTACAATAACAAAACAGTGTGTGCATCTTCCATACCAAAAGACCCTATAATAACAAACGACACACAGCCTGAACTCTGACAAGAGACCCTATAACAACACTGCATGCCGATTCCCACTGCTGACTCGACGCCTTACAATAACAAATCTGTGTTCATATCCCCAGTGCTAAAAGACCCTACAATAATAAACCACCACACACAGTCTTAGCAACTACAAGAGACCCTAAAATAACAAACCAGCGTGCACATATTCCCACTGCCAAGTGACCCTACAATAACAAACCACAGCACACAGTCCAGGTAATGCCAAGAGACCCTACAATAACAAACCACAGCATGTAGTCCAAGTAACGTCAAGAGACCCTACAATAACAAAGCACAGCACGCAGTCCAGGCAAGTAATGCCAAGAAGCCCTACAATAACAAACCACAGCACGCAGTCCAAATAATGTCAAGAGACCCTACAATAACAAACCACAGCACGCAGTCCAAATAATGCCAAGAGACCCTACAATAACAGATCTCCCAGGCAGCAGCTCTCTGGGGACCCTCTGAGGACAGTGTGGCCATGGCAGTCCCACTTTGGCTAAGCCTCTGGTGGAGGGCAGCCAGGAAGCTGCCCCGCCCGCACCCCAGCTGGGCACAGAGCCCTGGCAGGAGATAAACCCTGCAGGAAATGAGATTAGACGTCCCTCCTGCAGAGAAAGACGATTCCCCAAGGGCAAGAGCATCTACCTTGACCTGCAGCTAGGCTGGGCCACAAATAGTGCAGAGGATGGAGCAGGGAGGGGGAGCCCTGCATACAGCACTGGGATGCAGCCACCTCTGGGGTGGGGCAGCGGGGGAACAGCCACACAGCGGCGCCACACAGCAGCATAAAGTGGGAGGCGAAGAGTAATCCTGTGTCCAATTGTGTGTAACCACGGGGCAGGGGCAGGGGGATTTCAGGAAGGCAGAATGGACGTGGGCTGGGGGGGGTGGGGATCTGGCCAGGACACCGGGGTTCACGCCCCAACTTGGGAGGAAAGTGCCAGGGGAGATTTAATGACTGGGCCTGGTCAGGACTTCAATTTTCTATGCAATCCAAAAGTGGCTGCCCTCGGGTATTGGGGTGAGAGCACCAGCAACAGTGCCACCTACCAAGCCCCCATCCTGCTCCTTGCAGGACAGCGCCCCCTAGTGCCGCACTGGGGTATTGGGGGCAGCACCGACTGCGACAGGACAGCACCACCTACTGACGCCCCCATCCTGCTCCCTCCAGGACAGCACCCCCTAGTGCCGCACTGGTGTATTGGGGGCAGCACTGACAGCCCCATCCCAATTTCCAGTGGTGTCCCGGCCCAGCCCGGCCCCAACCCCTTCTGCTTAGCATGGTTCTAGTTTTAGCCCAGGCACCCCTCCCCCACTCTGTTTGGTGACATGGGGTGTGTGTGTATCTTTGATCTTATCTGTTCCCGAATTGGTTCCCATGGGAATTAATCCCCTACTAATCGCAATTAACTGAAGTCTATTAACGAGCTGGGGGAGAGGGGTCACGAGGCCAGTCCGGGGGAATTCAGGGTGAGGATCAGGGCCATAACAGTGTTATGGATGCTCACTGGTAGTGAGGGATGGGAGAAGGGCCAGAGGAGAGGTAGAGAGGCAAGTGAAAGGCCAAGGCCAGGCTGAGAGAGGGAACACCAGCATGGAAAAGAAGGGAATGTGCGAGGGGAGATGAAAGATTGCATGGGAAAGACAGGAACCTGGAAATCCAGGACAGGAGTGACAGCGGCATGGGAGGAAAAGAGGGAGCAAGGCCATGGGGGAGGGGAGGAGAGGAAAGTCCTGATAGAGAAGAACAGAAGGAGAAAACTGGGGAGCAGAGGAGAGAGAAGCAGAGGAGGGGAAGAGAGGGAATGTGAGACTAATGGGGGTGGAGGGGCAAAGAAAAGAGAAGGAGGAAATCAGGGAGGGAGGCAGAGAAAGGAAGAGGGGAATGAGACAGGAGGAAAAGAGGAATGAAGGACAGAACAAGCAGGAGGGAAGAAAAGAACAGAAGGAGAAAATCTGTGAGAGGAAGTAACAGGGGAACGAAACAGAAGAAAGGAGAGAGGAAATGGGGGTGAGGAGTGGATGAACGGGAAGGGTCCAAGAAAGAACAGAATGAGAGAATGGAAGCAGGGGGAACATGTCAGAGTCCTACAGAGACTGAAAAGATAGAAGAGGTGGTGGAGGAGGAGGACAAATGAAGGGAAAGGGAGGGGAGAGACTGAGCGATGGAACGAAAAAGACAGTCAGCGAGAGAAAGAGAGGAGGAAGAAGGGAGTGAGAAAAAGGAGAAATGAAATATGTCTCTCTGCATCTTTCTGCGGCTCCTCCCTTGTGACGCTCACATCCCTCCCTTTCCCTCCCCACTCTCTGGCTTCATCTCTCCTCCTCAGTCTCTCTCACACTCCCCCATTCTCTCTCCTTGCCCCCCCCCACACACCCAGCTGCCGGGCCCCACCCGCCCGCCCCCCCAGCTCTGGAATGTGCCTGAGTCACTCGCTCCGCTGCCTGGCTCCTAAATAAGGAGCGAACAGGCCTGGTTTGGCCGGGAGGGGGAGGGGAGGCCGGGAATCCAGCTGCCGTCCAACTCCGCACAGCTGCGCCGGGAGCCTCCCAACTCCGCTCCGGTGTCTGGCACCACCTCCATCAGGGTGTCTGCCCCTCCCGCCTGCCCCCAGAGCCCCGAAGGGGGGAGCAGAAACCGAACCCCACCCCAAGGCCCTGAGGTATGACCCTCCAGAAATGGCCTCAAATCTCCAAACTTGGCTCACGACCTTCTGGACTGGGCCCACGGCTCTCCAGAAAAGGCCATGAATCTCCAGATACGACCCAAGACCCTTTAGACATGGCCCACATCCCTCCAGACTGGATCCCACAGCCCTCCAGAAAGAGCCATGATCCTCCAGACTGGGTCCACGGCCCTCCAGAAACGGCCATGAGTCTCCAGATACAACCTAAGACCCTCTAGACTTGACCCACATCCCTCCAGACTGGATCCCACAGCCCTCCAGAAATGGCCATCTATCTCCAGCCTGGGCCAACAACCTTCCAGAAACGGCCATGAATCTCCAGACACAGCCCAAGGCCCTTTAGACATGGCCCACATCCCTCCAGACTGGATCCCACAGCCCTCCAGAAATCGCCCTCTCTCTCCTGATGGACCCATGACCCTCCAGAAATGGCCCTGAATATCCAGATATGGCTCACCGACCCTCCATGCCACCATCGCTCTAGATCCATCGGCATCTCCAATGTTTTCTCCAGATCACTTGCCTGGAGGAACCTTCACCCCTGGCTGCCCTCCCCCCCGCATCCAGACTCCCTGTTGCTTTCCTCACAGCCCTTTCTCTCTGGCTGAGAGCTGAGGAAGGCTAGAGGGATAGGCTGGACTCTTGGTGGCCCCTTTGAGCTGTAGTTTGAAGCCCAGGGCACTATCTCACAGGCTCTCCTGAGCTCCAGATCCTGTGGAGTGCTGTGTCGGAGAATGTCCGGTGCCCCTTCCCTGACCAGACCCCTCAATGTCTCTGTGAAGCACAGACTCCAGCCAAGAGACTGCTGTGCCAGAGAGAGATTGTTTGGCCTGCTGGGGAGAATAGATGGCAAAACACACCAGCTAGATGTCTGACCACACTATCTATATCCAAGCGTCCCTCTATTCATCCATAGTTCTGTCTATCCATCCATCATTAGCTCTATCCATCTATCCATTGTCAGATCATCGTCGGCTTTATCCATCCATCCATGGCAAGCTCTTTCTATCTCTCCATCCTCAGCTGCATCTACATTTCCATCCCTCCATTATCAGATCTACCTATATGTCTCTGTCTACCCTCAGCTCTATCTATCCATCCGTCATCGGATCTAGCCTCAGCTCTATCCATCCATTCACAGCGGTACCCTTCCATCCCTCCATCATCAGATCTATCTGTCCATCCATCCTTAGCTCCACACATCAATTTATTCATCGACACATCTAACTAAATATCTGTCCTCAACTCCATCCATCCACCCACCCATCATCTATCTATCCATCCATCCTCAGCTTTATCATCTATCTATCTATCTATCTATCTATCTATCTATCTATCTATCTATCTATCTATCCTCAGCTCCACCCATCCACTCGTCTATCCATTGTCATATCTCTCTCTATCTCCCTATCCTCGGCTCAATCCACCATCATGAGATCTATCTATAGATCTCTCTATCTACCCATCCTCAGCTGTACCCAAGACACAGAGAAATGAAGGACTAGCCGAGGGCAACCCGCCAGGCCAGTGGCCAAGCCAGGAATAGAAACCAGGGCCCCCGAGTCCCACTCCAGGGCTCTATCCACTAGGAACAGAACTGCCCCCCTCCCGCCCCGGCCAGAGCCTCAGTCCAGCTTGCATCCCTGACCCTCTCAGAGACTTGAAGTAAAAGAAGGGATACGCAACCCCAGCCTGTCTTAGGTGGCGCTGGAGTGGTCCTGGGCAGGGATCCCTGACTGGATTCCCAGCCCTTGTTATTCCCAAGTGGGTGAGCCATATTTACCCCTTCATCATCCGTTCCAACCACCCCCCACCA